TCGATGTGTCCCTTTCATGTCGATGTTTCTCTCTCTCTATCTGTTCCTCTCTCTCCCACCCACTCTACCTGTACAAAAAGTGGAAAAATGTCCTCGGTGAGGATAAAATAATAATAATAAGAAGAAAATACTAAAAGGACCGTTGTAAGAAGAAGAAGAAATGGGGTGAGGGGACCACATAAAGACTAAAAATGACAATACATAAGTATCAGTCAATAATATTCTTAAATATAAATGGATTAAATGCTTCAATCAAAAGACATAGGGTAGCTGAATGGATAAGAAAGTGTGACCCATACATATGCTGTCTACAAGAGACCCACTCCAGAACAAAAAACTCACACAGCATGTAAGTGAAGGGATGGAAAAAATATTCCATGCAACTGAAAATTTAAAAATATATATATTGGAGTAGTAATACTTATATCTAACAAAATAGACTTCAAAACAAAGGCCATAACAAAAGATTAAAAAGATCACTACATTAATACTAAAGAGATCTATCCAACAAGAGGCTATAACCCTGGTAAACATATGCACCCAATATAGGAGCCCCTAAATATAATATAAAAACTCATGGAGGACTTTAAGAAAGAGACAGACAGCAATAAAGTCATAGTAGGGGACTTTAACACCACTGATATCACTGTGCAGATCTTCCAGACAAAAAATCAACAAGAAAATAGTGACCTTAAATGACAATCAAGATCAAATGGATTTAATTGATAGGTACAGAATATTTCATCCCAAATTTGCAGAATATACCTTTTCAAGTACACAAGCAACATTCTGAAAGATAGACCATATGTTAGGACAAAAAATAATTCTTCACAAGTTCAAGAAGATTGAAATCATATCAAGAATCTTCTTGGATCACAATGGCATGAAACTAGACATCAACTACAATAAAAACAAAACAAAAAAAAACATTCAAACACATGGAGGCCAAATAGCATGTTATTAAACAATAAATGGGTTACCAATGAGATCAAGGAAGAAGTAAAAATCTTCCTGGAAACAAATGAAAATGAACACCCAACAACCCAAAATCTATGAGACACAGTGAAAGCAGTCCTGGGAGGGAAGTTCATTGTACTACAGACCTACCTCAAGAAACAAGAAAACTCTCTAATAAACTAATCCTATAACTTAAAGAAGTAGAAAGAGAACCACAAGAAAAGCCCGGAGAAAGTACAAGGAAGGAAATAATAGAAGATCAGAGCAGAAGAAATGACATAGAGACTAAAAAAAACAATACAGAAGATCAGTAAAACCCCAAAAGCTGGTTCTTGAGTTAAGATAAACAAGACTGATGAACCTTAACCCAGAATCATCAAGAAACAAAGAGAGGGTACCCAAATAAATAAAATCAGAAATGAAAAAGGCAAAGTAACGACTGACACAACAGAAATACAAATGATTGTAAGAAAATACCGTGAACTAACTGGACAACCTGGGCAAAATGGACAAATTCCTGGAAACATGCAATCTTCTAAAACTCACCCAAGAAGTACCACAGAATTGGAATAAGTTGTTAACAACCCATGAAATTTAAGCAGTAATAAAAAAATAGAAAAAAACCAGCAAACAAAAATCCTGGACCAGATGGCTTCACAGGTGAGTTTTACTAAACATTCATAGGAAAACTAACACTTATCCTCCTCAAATGATTACAAAAAATTCAAGAGGAGGGAAAACTCCCAAGCTCTTTTTACAAGGCCAGCATTATCCTAATTCCAAAACCAGATAAAGACACTGCAAAGAATGAAAATTACAGGCCAATATCCTTGATGAACATAGATGTTAAAATCCTCAACAAAATATTAACAAATTGAATCCAGCAATACATTTTTAAAAATCACACACCTTGACCAAGTGGGATTTATTCCAGAGATGCAAGGCTGATACAATATTCACAAATCAATAAATGTGATACATTACATAAAACGAAGGATAAAAATCACTTGATCATATCCATTGATTCAGAAAAAGCACTTGACAAAATTCAGCACCCATTTTTTAATGAAAACTCTCAGCAAAGTGGGAATATAGGAATCATACCTCAACATAATAAAGGCCATATATGACAGATCTACAGCCAACATCATACTCAATGTGCAAAAGCTAAGAGCATTTTCCTTAAGAACAGGAACAAGACAGGGGTGTTCACTTTCACCACTTTTATTCAACATAGTACTAGAAGTTTTAGCCACAGAAATCAGATAAGAAGAAAAAATAAAAGGTATCCAAATTAGAAAGGAGGAAGTAAAACTGTCATTATTTGCAGGTGACATGATATTGTACATAGAAAACCCTAAAGACTGCCCCAAAAAACTACTAGATTTAATAAATGAATTTGGCTAAGTAGCAAGATAAGTGCCAGAAATTGATGGCATTTTTTGTACACCAATAAGGGACTCTCAGAAAGAGAAACTAAAAAAAAAATTCCCATTTACTATTGCAACAACAAAAAAATAAGATATCTAGGAATAAACTTAACCAAGGAGGTAAAAGACCTGTACTTGGAAAACTATAGGACATTGGAAAAAGAAATAGAGGGAGAAACAAACAAGTAGAAGCATATACCATGTTCATGGAGTGGAAGAATTAACATCATTAAAATGTCCATACTGTTCAAAGCAATCAATAGACTCAATGCAATCCCTATTAAAATACAATCAGCATATTTCACAGATTTAGAACAAATATTCCAAAAATTTATATGAACCCCAAAAAGACGCCAAATAGCCATAGGAGTATTGAGAAAGAAGAACAAAGTTGGAGGCATCACAATACAGGATATTAAACTATACTACAAAGCCATTGTAATCAAAACAACCTGGTACTCTCCTGGCCCGTGTGGCTCAATTGGTTGGGCATTATCCCATGCACTGAAAGGTTGCTGATTCTATTGCCAATCAGGCCACATGCCCAGGTTGTGGACTCAATCTCCAGTAGGGGGCATGCAGGAGGCAGCGAATTGATATTTCTCTCTCCTTCTACCTTTCTCTCTCTCTCTCAAAATTAATTTTAAAAAATTAAAAGAAACAAACAAAAAAACACCTAGTACTGGCACAAGAACAGGCATATAGACCAATGGAACAACAGAGACCCCAGAAATCAACCCACACCAATTTGGTCAATTAATATTTGACAAGAGAGGCAAGAGCATACAATAAGTTAAAGACAGTCTCTTCAAGAAATCGTGTTGGGAAAACTGAACAGGTATATGCAAAAACATGAAACTAGACCACCAAATTACATGATACATAAGAATAAACTCAAAATCGATATGAGACTTAAAGTCACGAAACCATGACAATATTAGAAGAAAAGATAGGCAGTAAAATCTCTGACATCTCACGTAGCAGTCCCACTGATATGTCTCTTAGGGCAAGAGAAACAAAGGAAAAAATAAGCAAATGGGACTACATCAAACTAAAAAGCTTCTGACAGCAAAAGAAATCACCAAAAAAATGAAAGGGAACCCACTATATGGGAGAACATATTGGCCAATGATACATCTGGTAAGGGGTTAATTTCCAAAATATACAGAGAACTCATACAACTCAACACCAGGAAGACAAACAATTCAATTAAAAAATTGCAGAGGACCTGAATAGGTACTTCTCAGAGTGGACATGCAGATAGCCAATAGACATGAAAAAATGCTCAACATCACTAATCATCAGAGAGATGCAAATTAAAACTTCAGTGAGGTATCACCTCATACCTGCCAGAATGGCTACCATCAGTAAGTCAACAAACAAGTGCTGGTGAGGATGTGGAGAAAAGGAAACCCTAGTACACTGCTGGTGGTAATGGAAACTGGTGCAGCCACTGTGGAGAACAGTATGGAGTTTCCTCAAAAAATTAAAAATGTAACTGCCATTTGACCCAGCAATTCCATTTCTGGAAATATATCCTAAGAATCCCGAAACACCAATCAGAAAGAATATATTCACTCTTATGTTCATAGCAGCATTATTTACAATAGATAAGATCTGGAAACAGTCCAAGTGCCCATTAGTATATGAGTGGATAAAATAAAAAAGAATGATTTCTTACCCTTTGTAAGAGCCTGGATGGACCTGGAGATTATTATGTGAAGTGAAATAAACTAGTCAGAGAAAGACAAATATCACATGATTTCATTTATATGTGGAATCTAATGAACAAAATAAACTGATGAAAAAATAGGTCCAGAGACATGGACGCATGGAACATACTGACAGCTCTCCAAGGGAAGGTGGTGGGGAGGTGCTGGAAGAGATCAACCAAAGAGCTTATATGCATATATGCATAGCCCATGGACACAGACAACAGTGTGGTGAAGGCCTGGGGTGGGGCAGGGGCAAGGGCTGGGTAGAAGGTGGCAAAGGGGGTGGGGGTGGGGAATGGGGATCATATATAATACTGTCAACAATAAAAAATAAATTTAAAAAAGACAAACCAGGTTATGTAAAAAAAATGTATTTGCCATGCATTACAAATGGAATGCATTAAATGAAATATAGACAAATTTCTTTCTCCTTACAGCCCCCAACCCCCATTCCATGTGTCGTGACGTAGGCCTTCCAGGGAAGGGGAAAACCCCCTGAGAAATTTTCGTGCTCCACTGAAGATCCTAAAACGTAGCATTTAAGGTGCATATTTCAGAATTTGATGGGATGGAACTTTTCCCAGATTTAAACTCAGTTGTGCCTCCTGTGATAACAGTGACAACCCTCGCTCACAAAGTGTTATTTAGGTTTGCCCTAGTAAGCATACATCTCAAGTCTACCAAACGCAGCTGTGGGCACTTCCTCAGTGTGCTACTGCTGTGTGACTACGTGAGGGCCAAGTCCCCAACAGGAACTCCCCTCTGTGCTGAGGATTCACTTATACCTTGCCTATTTGACAAATATAACTCAGAGACCCTTAAGTGCCAGCCTGTGAAAGTGTCCATGTATGTGTCTGTATTGGTATCTTAAATTTCCGGATCCTCTCTTCCATTTCAGGATCTGGAATCCCTTGACACCTACATCCAGAACACACTCTCTGACCTCTACCCACCATTCGAGGCCACGGCGGCCACGGTGCTCTGGCAGGTCTTCAGCGTGGCCGAGAGGCTCCACGGAGGGGATGGGCTGCGCTGCCTCACTGACTTCCTTATCCCCGCCACGAAGGCCCTACAGCACCTGCAGCAGGAAGCCTGTGTGAGTACCTGTCCTCAGAGTACAGAGCCTGTGTGAGGACCTCCCTTATGGGAACAGAGCCTGTGTGATTCCTGCCCTCATGGGACAGAGCCTGTGTGAAGACCTCCCTTTAGGGGACAGAGCCTGTGTGAGTACCTGTCCTCAGGGGACAGAGCCTGTGTGATACCTGCCCTCATGGGACAGAGCCTGTGTGAAGACCTCCCTTTAGGGGACAGAGCCTGTGTAAGTACCTGTCCTCAGGGGACAGAGCCTATGTGAGGACCTCCCTTATGGGAACAGAGCCTGTGTGATTCCTGCCCTCATGGGACAGAGCCTGTGTGAAGACCTCCCTTTAGGGGACAGAGCCTGTGTAAGTACCTGTCCTGAGGGGACAGAGCCTGTGTGAGGACCTCCTTTATGGGAACAGAGTCTATATAAGGACCTCCCCTCGCAAGATAGAGCATGTGTGAGTAATTCCCCTCAAGGGATAGAGCCTGTGTGAGGACCTGACTTCTGGGGACAGAGCTTGTGTAAGTACCTGTCCTCAGGGGACAGAGCCTGTGTGATACCTGTCCTCAGGGGACAGAGCCTGTGTGAGGTCCTCCCCTGAGGGGACAGAACCTGTGTAAGGACTTCCTTGCAGAAGGAATCCTGTGTGAAGACCTCCCCTGCAGGAAACACCATAACTGTTCTTTACCTGGAGAAGAGAGGCCCAGATACCTGGTACCTGCAAAATATTTAAGCTGAGGAAGTAGAATTTTAGAATCAGGGAAATGTGCCATTGATGAAGGTAAGGGAGAACATTTGAAATTAAACCAGTAATTAAAACCAACATAATTCAGTGAGCATTTGTCGTTTTCTTTCTGAAAGAAAGTTGTGAAATAAAGGAAAAACCAAAACTGTATTATAAACTCAGCCATGTTTTCATAGAGTTTAAACACATAAATGAAGAAATCTTTCCATTTCCCTCTATTTGATGGGTCCATCAGGCCCTATCTCATCTCCTTCTTTCTAGCTTCTGGCTCCTCCTTTTCTTCATCCCAAATGATGGGTGAAATAAGACTCTGTGTCCCAGAAACCAGGCTTCCCAGGCCTGCCAGTGCGTGTGAGCCCACTTTGTGTGCAGACATCCACTCTGGTTTCCCCCAGTGAACTTCCACTACAGTCTTTGAGCGAAGGAAATAAGTCACACTCCTGAGTAATCATCTCAGAGCCAGCTTATTCGAGCAGTTCCATACACACCAATAGACCCTGCTTAATGAATTTCTCACATGTTTAGTTTATTTCTTGGGGTATTTTTATTGTAGGTTAGAAAAAAGAAAAGAAAACTAATGACAGCCAAGTTGTGGGTATATTGAAGTGAGCTGCTGGAAAGATTATGGCTGAATCTTGAAAAGAAATATCTTTATTCATCAGTACCTTTTATTACTCCATTGATACTGAATTAGGGTGGTTTCTTTTTCAAACTACCATTGGACTACCTTGATTTATTAAACTCTTTGAATATCTTTTAGCTGGAATGACCGTGGTAGAGAAATAACCAGGAATATCCTAGATTTGATTCTTTGTTTGAAGTAGTCTATGCAGAGGTTCTTTTCCTTTGTGATTATGTACCTTTTCCACATTGGCATAGGGCAGCAGTAGAGAGAGGTGCCTCTCAGGAGAAGTGAACAGCAACACAGAGAACCATTCTGCTTTAAGTCAGATCTGAAAATACCTGTCCTCTTTCAAAGGTGTGTCTTGAAAAGCTATTCTGACCTAAAGTTTTGCCTTTCTTCTTCAAATTTCTTTTACCTTACATTTTAACCATGTCATTTCTTCTCACTTACAAAATTGCCTATTTTCTGAAAAAGCCATAGTAATAATATTACCCTGAAATATGGATGCATATCTACAAGTGTTTAATAAGAACAAAATGAAATTTAGAGACAACCTTACTATTTGCTTGTTTCTATTGCTATTGCTTTTTTCTTTTTAATAGAACATAAAACTTGATCTTTATGATATAGGAGAAAATGAACTTATCTAACAACTATGAATATAAACATATTTTAGTTAACATAAATTCAATGCCATTTTTATTCATTTACCCACTATTGTAAAAGTATATGGCTTGGAAATCATTATTAATGATATTAACTTTAAGGTAAGTTGTTGTATTAAACTAATATTTTAATGACCACCATTCTGTCATTCTTCTCTAGATAGATGAAATGCTTAAAATCACTTATTGCATACTTATAATTTTGTTTCATCACAGTTTGGATCAGAAATGTCTGGAGAAGTTTAAAGAAAAGTAATCAGAAAAATATAAAGATAGAATGTTTCTCCTAAGGGAGGAAAGCAGGAGGAGAGAGTTAGAATAAAGAAAATGAAATCAAATAGACGTAAAAAATTGAGGGAGTTAACAAAACAAAGATATGGGAAATCAAAAAGCACAACTTACATAAGAGGTTGAAAGTAAAGTTATTGAAAATGGTAGACCAGCAAAATTCTAACCAAAGGATAACTGCTATAGCAATATTTGTAACACACTAAATATAATAAAAGGCAAAATGCATTGTTAGGGCTAAAGAGGATCATTCAGTAATAGTACTGGTCACAACTAGGAATACATAAAAATCTGTAAATGCTTAACAACATAGCATGAAAATGTTTGAAGCATAAATTGAGGGGATTATAAGAAATAATTCATCATCTTAATGGGATATTTCACCTCTCTAAAGCAAACAGGATAAGCAAAACATATATTAAGATATACATTTGAACACACATCTCTTCCACTAATGGGCACACATAGAGTGCCAAACACATAATTTTAGAATGCAATACTTCCCAAGTGTACATGGAACATTTTCCAACTTTAATCAAAATTTGATAAAATTATGATCAAATTTTACAATAAGAGAATATACTTTTATCTCAAGAATATATACAATTAGCCCAGCCAGTGTGGTTCAGTAGTTGAGCATCGACCCATGCACCAGAGGTCACCGGTTCGATTCCCAGTCAGGGCACATGCCCAGATTATGGGCCAAATCCTCAGAGAGGGGCATGAAGAAGGTGGCCAATTGATGTTCTCTCTCATCGATGTTTCTCTCTCCCCCTCTCCCTTCCTCTCTCTCTAAAAATTAATAAAGAAATAAATAAATAAAATACAGCCTTAAAAAGAAGGAATATATACAATTAGAGAACGTACATGCTTCTTAAATGTACATGTACATTTATCAAAATTGACCAGAATTGACCATTAGCCATAAAGTGTCAACAAATACCAAAGAATTGATATCTAAAGACTGCAAGACAATAAAACTTTATTGAAATCAATAACAACAGCAACAACAAAAAACCACCCTTACATTTGTAAAATTGTAAATGTACTCCTATACATAGATAAAGGGTCAAAGAGAGAACCACAAAGGAAATTGGCAATATGTTTCTTGCTGATGAATCAGTGAGTCCTATTTCTAGTTAGGATGTAGAAGTATAGGAAAGACCTTTACTCCTGTCAAAACAAGAAATCCCAACATGAACCAAAACAATTATACTTCCCTTTAAAGCTATCCAAGAGCAATGGATACATAAAGATCCAAAATAACTAAAATATGGAAAGACAATGCTTGCCTAAATGAGTAAAGAACAAACACTTCCATACCTGGGGCCAGTCACTGAGTTTGCAGGGAGCACGGATTGAGGTTCAGGCTGCCAGAAAAGGATCATCTCTGCTCAGATGAAAAGAAATTGAATTTGGGAAACCTCAGGGCTGCCCTGTCCAGTTTGGCTCAGCAGTTAGAGCATCAGCCTCCAGTCTAGAGACCCGGGTTCGGTTCCCACTAAGGGCATGTATCTCGGTTGCAGTTTGTCCCCAGCCCTGGTTGGGTTGTGCAGGTGGCAACCACTCGATATGTCCCTTTCACGCCAATGTTTCTCTCGCGTGCGTGCGCTCTCTCTCTCTCTTCCTCTCTCTCCCTCCCACTCTATCTGTACAAAAAACGAAAAAATGCCCTTGGGTGAGGATAAAAAAAAATAAAAATATAAAAAAGAAACCTCAGGGCTGATACATCAGGTAAGAATCTATGTAAGCCTTGAAGGTAAGGATAATCCTCTTTCCTAATTAATCCTAAACAATTCTCTTACAGGAAATTCGGCAGAGTAAGTGGAGACTGAGATATGGGGAGAGAAAGCAAAAGATCTCAAAATCTTATAGTCACACAGTTTCAAAGTGTCACACTTTTCTTAACATTGTAGAAACGTAGTTTCAGCATCTCTCAGGTTTGAAGTCCAGTGGTGGTTGGTACCAGGCTCCCCTGGATAGAGACTTGGGAACTCGTCATCAAAGCATTTGAAGCCAGATGTAAATTAAAATTAACCAAAGCTGAACTATACCCCACCCAATTCAAATTCTGTAAGATATCTCTGGTGGTCAAGGGAGTCAGAGACTGACTGGAAAGTGAACAGGTATCTCATTAGACTCCTGGAGCTTGAATTCCAAGGCTCTGCTGGAGTTTAAAGCCCCACCCCAAACTAGCTCTATTTGTAAATGTGTTAAACTGATAAACCCTTCATCCTACCTGCCTAACAGAGGAAAGAGCACTCCCTCTTTTTAAAAAATTATCTACTTTAGACAGAATCTCTGGCATAAAATTAAAAAATTACAAGTTGTGCAAAGGCACCAAATTATCAACCCATAAACAAAAGGAAAATTTGTCAATAAAAACAGACCCAGATTATCGAGGTATGGAATTAGCAAAGACTTTTTAAAAGCTGTGATAGCCCAGCCAGTGTGGCTCAGTGGTTGAGCGTCAACCCTTGCACCAAGAGGTCACTGGTTTGATTCCCGATCTGGGCACATGCCCATGTTGTGGGCCACATCACCATTGGGGGGGGGGGGCCTGCAGGAGGCAGCCAGTCCATGTTCTCTCTCATCTATGCGCCCTCAATAATCTGTAGGACTATCAAGTAGTCAAACTTATGTGTAACTGGATTCCCATAAGGGGAGGAGTGAGAAAATGGAGCAGAAA